TTCTTGAAATGGGTGATGCCAAAAGAAAACCAGACTTCAATCATATAAATTTATGATTGAAGTCTGGTTTTCCTTGGCATCACCCAAATAATACTTACACCTAAATTGGTTTTTAACTCTGAATAACTAAAATCGTTGGCAATTATTGATAGAATTCGTCTTTTTCCATTCTTTGTTTTTTTATTATCTGCTAATGCTTGATTAAAGCATTGCCAGAAAATACGAGTTTTATTAGAAACATAGCTTGGTGAGCTATTTAAGAATCCCAAATTGTATAATTGTTGAAGTATATCCTGATTATTTTCATACAGTGCATTTTTTATCCATAATTGATACTGCATTATAGGAATAAATAAACTTGAATTAGTCTTTGTTTTATTTGAAAATTTAAACTTTACCTTTGATTCTTCAGGTGCCCATGGAGTTATATTTTGACAACTGCTTGCACAAAGCATCTCATGCCAAGCACTTATTTCACGATCACTAAATTGGTAATCCAGAGGATAAATATATCCAAGGCTTGAATAAAGTTCACCGATGTTAGTTTGGCTTTCCTGCCATTTTAGAAATAAACTATGCCAATTTATATCTGCAAGCGTCCTTCATTTTAAATGGTAATCAAAAAAAAACTTCATAAGAGCATAATTAGACCAGTTTTTTGGTAAACAAGTAGGAACATGATGTTGGTGAATTAGTGATTGCACATCCAGATCGTCGAGCCCAAAAAGTTGAATGCCAGTATGTTTTTGAATATTTAATTTTTGCCACACTTCATTTGGAGATGACCCTTCAATCCGGTTTTTAATTTCAAAGTCTTTATGAACCTCAACTGTACAAGAATTATCTTCTATTGTTGAAAAGTATAGAACGCTTTTTCTATTGACACTACGTAGAAGTGAAGACTTATATCCCGGTCCACCATGATTCCATTCAGCATTTGAAGAAGATCCAATGCCAGAAACAAAAATTTTGTATTCACTGAGCAAAGAGAATATAGAAACAAATGATACATCTGATAATAGCTGTTTAATTATTGATTTGTCCGTCCATCTAAGTGCCAAAAATCCAGAATAACGTGTTTGAGTATTAAAGATCTCTTTATATACTGTAGAAATTGCTGTAGTTGGATCTGGGTTTATGCTAGAACAAGAGCTGCTTTCACAATAAAACCTAGGTAAAAAAGAATTTTCAGAGTAGTTAATAATAACTGTTATAAAAAATTCACGTTCGTTTAAAATTATTTTAGTTTTTTGACCAATTCGAATAGAAAAATTTTTTTTTTTTTGCTTATAGTAGAAAACCGCCACCAGTATCGCGAATATGCGCCATAATGAATATTTTCGTCTAACACCTCCTTTTTTATTAATACAGCGGAGAGTTTTGTCATTTTTTATGATCTTTAAAACCAAACTTTCAGATTTGCTTGTATATAATAGATCATTAGTATACTTATCCCCGAAATTTTATATAGAATTATGCTTAATTTGTGCTGATCTTATCCGGATCGGCAATTAAATAATTTTAACAAAGATTTTTTTTAATTTCAAATTTGCTTTTAAAAAAAGCTTGTATATGCAAAATAAATTTTTTTTTTCTTTGAGGTTATACTTGTAGCAATACTTTATTGACTTATATCAGATTAGCTATTACAACTATTTTTTCAGAGATGAGAATACAGCTAGTTACACATGCAACTTTTTGTTGCCTATTTAAGTAGTCTGCTCTAAGGTTTTATACTAGATGCTATACCTATAATCTACTAGGAAATTATTCATTTTAAATCCTTTAATCATCTGCTTTGTCATATTGGAATCCTCAACTAACTCTCTATATATACCTAACTGGTATACCATCTGAGTAGTATAGTTATCTACACTTTTTGTATTGGTTCTTAGGCCATTACATATTTTAGAGTACATCATCTGCCAGTAAGCTGCAGGAGGTCTTCTATTGTTAACTATCTACTTACTTTTAGAACACTAATACAGGCTATTCTTACAGAGTTTACTTAGACTCCAGTACTAACTTTACAGCATATTCCTAGTATTTTTAGTATACTCTTGCTTTGAACTCAGACTCCTAATCCAGATAGACAGAAGGACTGTAACCTGTTCTTGGTATATTAAGACCAGCCCAATATTCTTTTCCTCTGGTTCAAAATCTGATAGCCTGGTTAGTGATACCCCTTACCCGAGGTTTTTGACTGCCTGAATCCTTCACATTGGTATCTATTTCCTAGGTCTAGCCTTTATAGTAGTACTGTCAAAGATCTGTGTTAACTTTCTGCTCAGAATTTCCAAGTAGGCTTTGGCTTTCTAGTTTTACAGATTTATATAGCCCGAGAACTTATTTTAGGTTTGCACCACCCGATACCAGTTTGCATTCCTTTGTATAACAGGTTATACAGATGCCTCAGACCTGCCAGTCATGCTAGTGCAACTATAGTTACAGGTATCCTATCCCAACTGATTGACAAAATGCTATTGCTATAATATCATCTTATATTACATAAATGATTATTCAAATTTCACTATCAGTGGGTTTTGAACTCACTATCTACCACTTGGAGGTATAACAACTTATCCACTTCACTAAGTCACTATACTCTTTCAAAATAATTTTTGCTATAGCTACAAATAATAATATAATATTGTTTTACAAACAGATCAATTATATAGAAGTTTTTTTAATAATAGCTAATTATAATTATATAATAAATATTATTTTTATAAAGGTATAGTAACATAGTGAAGTGGTTATATTGTCAATTCTTAAGTGGCAGATCTAAAGTTCAAATTTCAGTATTAACTAAAATTTGAATTTTTTTTGTATTATAGTCTAAAGATATGATCTTTATCTGAACTATCCAAATTAATCTATAAATCTGTTTAATTCTAGGATATCCTTATTTAATTTTTTTAAAAAAATAATCTGATTTTGTATCTAAATAAATAATAATAAATTATAATCTAAATTATTAAGTAACAATCAACTAATTATTATTAATAACTTATATAATAATCTCAAAACTTAAAATCATATTTTATATTTAAATAGTTATACAAAATAATAACTTTATACAAAAGACAAAAGTCAAATTTGGCTTTTATTAAATATATTAATACAAACTTAATAAGTTAAATACAAATAATAAAACATATATTTTTAATATATTAACTTAATTAATCTTTTCAAAAACTCAAGTACTAATTATTATGCATTTGTAAATTTATTATTATATATTTATTATTAATATATATGCTTTTTAAAAATGGTTATTTTTTTAGTACATTTATTATGACTTTTGTATACAGAAAATAATTTAAATTTTTAATAAACCTTAATTAAGATTTATTTTATTCTGAATCAAAAACCTTCATTAATTTAAGATTATATTTTAAAAATAATTACTTTTTACTAATTCTAAATTTGTTTGAATATTATTATTGTTAATTAAATTTTTAGCATTAGAAAATAATCTTTACAAAAGTGTAGTAACTAGTAAAGTGACCAGATTGTTAACTTTTCAAGTGGTAAGTTGAATGTTTAAATTCTATTAATAACAAAAATTTGAATAATCACTTATATAATATTCATATTACAGCAATTGTTATCAATGATTGGGTTAGAATACCTGTAATAACAGTCACACTAGTATAACTAGCAGATCATAAGCATCTGTATAAGTATGATGTTATACAGAAGAATGCAAACTAACAAACCAGATAGTGCAAATACTAGATAAGTTCTTGTAGCTATGTAAATTCATTAAAATTGAATAACAAGAAGTCTATTTAAGAAGATACAAGTAGAGAAGTAACCAGATCTTTAACAGTATTACTGTAAAGGCTAACTAAGAAAATGGATACCAAAATTATATAGTAATACTTGATTATAGTATTCAAACAGGCAAGAACCTTTGGGTTGGAAAAAGCTTAGAAGTACTACCAACTAGGCTACTAAAATAAATTAAAAAAGAAAAGGATATTAGATTAATCTAATATACTAATAAACTTGAAAGTCTAGTAAAAAGGCAGATATATACTAAAATACTAAAGTTATATTGTAAAGTAGATGCTAAGGTCTGTATGAACTCTATAAGAGCATAGCAGTTTAATAATTAAGCTTTGATTACAAGTATTGGTTTTGTCATAGTGATATTTAGATCAGTAATAAAAATAAATACAAAAGGCTTTGAGAAGTTTATTTTAAGAATAAAATAGTTCTAAAGTTGAGATGATTATCTAGACATTTGGAATGACCTAGTAATATTAATACAGATTGCAAATTTAGAGGATTTAAAGTAAAACATCAAAGCAGAAATATTAGATATAACAATTAGTAGAAAACTTTCAGACAAACTTCTTAAATAGGTAATATAAAAAAGTTACATGTGTAGCCAATTGTATGATTTTTTGTAATGGTTTATAGAATCACATTGCCAAAAAAGTCATTAATAAAAAGTCAAAAAACCTAAGAGATCATCTTAATATCAAAAAAAAAAATTTTTTTATTAATACTGATATTGCTAATATTTTTTTACAAGTTTAAATAGATTTAAAAAAGTATTTATATGTACTTACTATTATTCTAGAGAGTTTTTATTTTTTAAAACTTTAAATAAAGATAAATAATTTAATACTTTATCATTTTTATTATTTATATTAAAGTTTTTTTGCTTTTGTCCTTTATTTTTATATTATTAAATATATTTATTATGTAAGCAAATTATATTTAAAGTTTTTAATTTAAAAATATAGCATTAACATCTTTTTGTAGTTCAAAATTAGATTTTAAGTAGTTTAAAGCTTTATACTTATTACAAAGTTGCTAAAAGGGTATGGGTTCCATAGCTTAGTGGTTAAGCTCCCATGCCCCCACAGTCAAGGTCAACAGTTCAAGTCCGGCTGGAGACAAAATTAAAAAGATTTTAGCCT